CTGTCCTTTTCCTCTGGAACAGAAACTTTAACATGAAACCAGGAGTTGTCATATTTTCACCAAAAGTGTCCTCCAGATTCGAGGTGCTCTATGGATATAAGGACTACAGGAAAAATCTCCCACTTTTAAAATAAGCATACAACAAAGATTTAGAGCTCTTTGGAGTAAGAATGTCAAAATTCCCCTTCTTGTGGGTATGGCTAGCAAGTGCCATCAGGAAAGCAGGAGAGAATCCAAATGTATATTCATTCATTCATTTGTAATATGAAAGCCACAACAACCTTTTAGCATCTATTGAAATCATGACAAGTACAAAAGAGGAAAGAAACTTTGAGGTATAATCCTCCATTTCTGCTCATTGACTTTTGAGTCTAAAGAACTTCACCAAGATTGAAGGACCTATATGAGGTATAAGCAGTTGTTCAAAGTTTAAAAAGCGGAGGAATCCCAGACCAGTCATTGTTGAAGGAGTTGGTGGAGCCATCTTTCAGAATACTATTCTGAAATGTCTCCATCTTAATGGTATGTATATTGTCTGCACATGCAAGAGGCACAGCAATTTCACATCCAAAAAAGGTATATATCATTCATCAGCTTGAGGAAGTGAAATATCCACAAACTAACAAATGCTTTCAGAGTCTCTTTGGTGGAGACTTATACACATACTTACATTTCTAGTGTGAAACAGCCAAACAGGGTTGTTCAGGTTTGAAATAAAGCTGCTGATTACCCCTGCTTGAATCTATTCTTATATAAGAAATGCAGTCTCTTTCTCCAGTAGGGGTGAAACATTGTCATACAGTGTTGTCAGGCCTTATAAATATGGTGGGTTTTGTTAATATACATGGCCAATAGTTATAGAAGTTACCAGCAGAGGTCACAGTAAATATGTTCAGCTGATATATGGACCTACTTGTTTGGGATTTAAATAACCAGTATTTTCTTGCCAGTTAATGTAGTCTGATAAAGGAATAACTAGAGTTCACACAAAAAAGTCCATAAGCAGCTGAGTACAGTGACATATACCTGTAATCCCAGAAACTCAGGAGGTTGATGCAGGAGGATCACAAGTCTGTGACCAGCCTAAGCAATTTAGTGAGACCCTGTCTCAAAATAAAAATAAAATGTTGGGGATGTGGCTCAGTGGTAACACATCCCTGGGTTCAATTCCTAATACTGCACCAAAAAAAAAATAAGTCCAGAAGCTTTTACAGTGATTATGATTCAGTCTTTCAACCCTAAGTAATACTGAACCCAAATCCCAGTAGAGGAACCAGTTTTCCAGAGCTCTTTCAATAAGGATCTATTGTTTTTCAGAATAATAGATACTTAGTCCTGCATTTCTAGCAGTCTCATAAATTTCTGAGGCTTTTCTCCTTTCCAGCATGATGATCTGAGGTGTATGTTTAATGACCTCTTAGAGGGGAAACCAGGAACTCAGCCCCGTCCTTACTCCATTTAGAAGAACTCAGCTTTAGAAACAAATAAGCTTGGCATAAAGAGTTAAATCAAATCATGAAGTAGAGCTAATAACCATGAGTATTCCTGTCTCTGATCCCATATTAAGAATCCAGATGATACAACGTACTTTCTTTGGCTCTATTCTTTGCATCCTTACAGGGTTTGTGGGAATGAAGCTTAATAATCCTCCTGTGGACCTTCTATATCTAATCATCTAATGATTCCATCTCTCCTAGCAATTGCTAGAGCCTATAAACTATTTGATAATCTGTCTCATATGTCTGTTTTTTTTTTTTTAAAGAGAGAGAGAGAGAAATTTTTTTAATATTTATTTATTTATTTATTTTTAGTTTTTGGCGGACACAACATCTTTGTTTGTATGTGGTGCTGAGGATCGAACCTGGGCAGCACGCATGCCAGGCGAGCGCACTACCGCTTGAGCCACATCCCCAGCCCACATACGTCTCTTTTTCATAGTCTCAATGGGCCTTTCAAGTTTTGGGATAGAACCACATTCCCACATTCTAAAATTAGGCAACCCCTCAATTTCTGTCTTGTCATTCTTTCTGTTTATGAGCAATACAACATTTATTGATGTGAAGAAGACATCACAAGAACTCTAGTCAATCTATCCTCTTCTTAGTTCCTTCTTTCATTTGGAGCAGAAACCTGTGCCACTAATTAAGCTCTCTCTTTCCATTTCCTGCCCTATGACAAAACATGAATGATCTAAAAGAACTATTTCATTTATTTTGTTGTTGTTGTTGTTTAGTTGTAGATGGATACAATACCTATATTTATTTATTTTTATTGGTGGTGAGGACTGAACCAAGTGCCTCACATGTGCTACACAAGCACTCAACCACTGAGCTACAACCCCAGCTCCGAACTATTTCATTTCTAACAGTATCTCCCAGGTGAAGAAATAAAATCAAAGTCATTGTCCACTTAGAAAGACCTGCTCTGAATCAGTTATTCAACATTCTCTGTGCTAACATCATGTTATCTAGTCTGGTCCTCTCAGAACCTGGGTTGTCTTATAATCATACTAACACAGCTAGTTGTCTCAGGATAGCTACATCCTCTGTAGATCTAGTTCAGATTACATTCCAAGAGACTCAGGGAAATCACCCCAGTGGGATATGGATTATCATTGTTACCATGCATCCAGACCAGAAACAGAGTGGCAACATATGCCCCAGTACTATTAGTCAACCCAGACTGCTCATTGTTTAACAGGGTCTTGCTCTAAAAGCTGATGAATTTCCTCCTGCTGTTGATCATACTCGGGCTCCTCTGTGCCAGGCTTCACAGCAACTGGCTTCATATCTAAAGTGATAAGTTGCCTCATATATTATAACAAAGAGTCAGTGGAGTTTCCCCTGTATTCCCTCCTAACAGGGCATCTGTTACCCTTTTTAGTTCACCCTCCTCCTCAGGACTCATGAAAGTCTTTAAGCTGATTAAGAAGTGGGATAGAACCAAATTTCAAACCACTAATCAGCGTCTTTAGTTTATCATGTTTTTGCCATCTTCAGGCATAGCTACTAAGATCATTCTAACTCTGCCAAGTGAATTAATCTCTGCCTCTAAGGAAAAATTCTTCCACCCCTGTTTGCTACCTTTCTAGAAAGCCATGACATTTCTATTGGACACCAGACATTATGGATTTTATCTTGTTTGGGGTGTTGGATGTTTTTAAATTCCTATAAATACTCTTGAGCTTCTTAAACTGAGAAACAGTTAAGTTACTTGGAAAAAGATTGATCCTTTCATATCTTGTATTTAAAATTTGTTAGGCTAAACTAGAACATTACTCAAGTCTAGGATAATTATCCCCTGCCACTGAAGCAGGATCCTTCTGAGTAACTAATGCCTATGAATCTTGAGGCTTACCATTCTGGTTGTAGGAACAGCAATATTACCAGCCTGTGTGTACACTTCGCACTGTCACCTATAAACCTTTCATATGTTTTTTTTCCCCTGACCTCTAGTGGGTTCCTTACATGTGTACTGATCTTCCTCATCTGAATACTCAAGAGATCCTTCTGCAGATCTCCAGAGTTCTCTCTTTGCAGAATAGACAGCTCTCTTCTTTCCAGAATAGACTCCCCTTTCCTCCCAAGACTCCCCTTAGTCAGTCTGCCAGACTCCTTCTGGATTCTCCCTCTCTGTGTTGCATGTGGAACCTATCCCAAAGCAATGTTCTGGGGCAATTATAGGGCTTACTGATTTTTTCAGCTTTGTTATGTGATATCCATTTCTTGCAAACTGTTGTTTCATGTTTTTTTCTGCTTGTGAATGTTTCATAAGAGTAAATCTAGTCCTGTTAGTTTATATTTGTCAGAAATATAAGTGTAATGTATAGGATTTAATTTCAGTTAAAAACTAATTTCAAGAGAGAATGTGAGAACTTTTAAACATATTGAATAAAGTAGTGGGTTTTACTTTTATTTATTTATTTAGCTACCAGGGATTGAACAGGGAGGGACGCTTAATAACTGAGCCACATCCCCAGCCCTTTTTAAATTTTTTTATTTTGAGACAGGATCTCACTAAATTGCTTAGGGCCTCACTAAGATGCTGAAACTGGCCTCAAACTTGGAATTCTCCTGCCTCAGCCTCTGGAGTTGCTGGGATTATAGGCATGCACCACTATGCCTGGCTGGATTTATATTTTTAAAGGAATTCCTATAAATTATTTTTATGTGATGGAAAAAAACATGAACCAGAAGTTCACAAAGCAGAAATAATGTCAGTAAACCTATGAAAAAATATTCAGCCTTACTAGTGATCAGAAATAATGTGACTGAGATTTTCACCTCCTAGATATTGGCAAAGACAAGAAATATTGATAGCATCCAGTTTCATTGAGGGTGTAGGCAGACAGATGTTCTCATCTGGTATGAGTATATTTTGATCCAGACAGTGTAGAGGGCATTTTGACAATATATGTTTAAAACTCTGAAAAGTATGTATCTTAACACTCAATGAGTTTTTCCCCTACATATTTATCCCAAGGAAATAAATCAGAAAAGAAAAGAAAAACAGAAATGCAGATACAAGATCATTCATCATAACAGAATTGCTAATAATGGTGAAAAATTGAGACCTATTAATGTCTATCAGTAGAAGATTGGCTATTTAAATTATGATGTAACCCATTGAATACTCTGTAGCTATTAAAATTTATATTGACACAGCAAGGTGTTTATAGAGTATTATTCAGTAAAACAGGTAGATTAGACTATTCTTTGACAAGATGCCCTCTTTTTAGCTATATAGGCTTAAGGACAGAGAATTTCTAGAAGTTTTATACTAAACTGTCACTCATGATTTTTTCTGTGAAATAGGGCTTTTATTAATTTTCCAATAATGGAAAAATAACCTATAAAATGAGAATCTGGAGAGTATTATTAGGTCATCTAGAAAAGGTTATTTAAATATTTATGCATATAATTTCATAAATAATAAAATTTAATTACAATATTGGTTTGACTTGGAATAACTGATTTTCATAACACATTTTGTTTTTGTAGGACTAGAAGAAATTGCAAAAGAAAGAGAAAAACTTAAAAAGGCAGAAAGTATCCAAATCAAAGAAGAAATGTTTGAGACTTCTGGGGATACTTTAAATTGTTCAAATACAGATCACTGTGAGCAAAAGGAAGATCTTAAAGAAAAAGATAACACAAATCTGTTTCTTCAGAAACCTGGCTCTTTTTCCAAATTAAGCAAGCTTTTGGAAGTAGCTAAGATGCCTCCTGAGTCAGACATTGTGACCTCCAAACCAAATGTTAGTGCAAATGGGTGCACACTGTCTTATCAAAATAGTGGAAAACATTCAGTGAGCAGCATTCCATCAACAGCATCACAAAGCAACATGGAGAAGACAGACTCTAATCTGTTTAACACTGGTTCAGGTGGTCCAGGGAAATTCTATAGTCCTCTCCCCAATGACCAATTGTTAAAAACACTGACTGAAAAGAATAGACAATGGTTTAGCCTTTTGCCAAGAACGCCTTGTGATGATACTTCACTTACCCATGCGGATACGTCAACTTCTTTAGTGACTCCTCAGTCTCAGCCACCATCCAAGTCACCTTCACCTGCCCCAGCTCCTCTTCTTGGATCATCTTCTCAGAATCCTGTTGGCCTAAATCCATTTGCTGTATCACCTCTTCAGGTTAGTACCACTAACTGAAACTCATTGTGATATTGCTTTCTTTAATCTTTGACCCCATAAAGATTTCACTTAAGGGGAATCAGTTGAGTAGTCTGTCATATAGTCTGTCACAGCCTGAAAACTGAAGCAAATCAGAATTTCTGTCCCAAGCTTTATTAGAACTACCAGTTTCTAACCTGTGTTTAAGTCCACTTTAATTACTTTTTAACTTATTGTTACTGTGTATCTAAAAGCAAAATAAGAACATGGAATTTAATCTTGCTGTTTCTAATGTATTTAGTTTTCTTCCACCTGTGATAAATGAAAGTATTTTTTTTCAGAATTGAAAAATAATTTCAGATTCTAGACATTTTCCATAAGTTCTTAATCTACTTTAAAATGTTTTGTTTTTACAGATGAAAAGCGGAGTGTCTATGATGGGACTTCAGTTTTGTGGGTGGTCCACTGGTGTGCTTACTTCCAATATTCCATTTACATCACCTTTACCTACTCTGGGATCAGGGTTGGGATTATCTGAAGGAAATGGTAATTCATTCTTGACTTCCAATGTTGCTTCAAGTAAAAGTGAATCTCCAGTACCTCAGAATGAAAAGGTCTCATCAACTCAACCTGCAGCTGTTGAAGTAGCAAAACCAGTAGATTTTCCTAGTCCAAAACCTATTCCAGAAGGTAGGTACATTAAGATGGCTTATATCCACTTACTGTATTTTATTATTTTGGACTCTTATAACTGAATCTCTTGTGAGTTTATATGTAGTTAATAAATCTTTAGATTTGTTTTGTGCCATTATTTCCTATTCAAAATATTTGTAAAAGATCTACATATTTTGACTTAGAAATGCAGTTTGGTTGGTGGAGGATTATTGACCCGGAGGACCTGAAAACTTTGCTCAAGGTGCTACATCTCAGAGGAATCAGAGAAAAGGCATTACAAAAACAAATTCAGAAACACTTGGATTATATTACTCAAGCATGTATCAAGAACAAGGATGGTATGTGCCTAAAAGACTTCTGCTTTCTTGTATAGTTATAACAGTTAATTCTTTTATCCTAAAACATTTTGATACGTCTTAATTCTATTATTGCTAGTTTTTTCAATGTTGCTCAACAGTAACTATTTAAATTTCTTAAATAAGTATTTATTATAATTTTTAGCACCTGAACAATATTGTCTCTTAGAAAAAGTGTTTCTCCTTTTTTAGAGTAAACTGCCTGCTTATGATTGTTAAGTTAGATGTACATGATTTTATTCATTTTCTGATCACTGAGGAGAGGAAAATAAAGTGGATTTTAAAATGAATTTCTTTTCAAATGTAGTTGCTATTATTGAATTAAATGAAAATGAAGAAAGCCAGGTAACACGAGATATTGTGGAAAACTGGTCAGTAGAAGAACAAGCAATGGAAATGGACTTGAGTATCCTTCAACAGGTAGAAGATCTAGAAAGGAGAGTTGCATCAGCAAGTTTGCAAGTGAAGGTAAAATTCACTTGGAATAAAATCTGGTTTTTAGGCTAATGGAAGGTAACTAATATTTATTTTATGCCTAATATATGCCAGTTACTGTACTAAATGTTTTCACTTTATCTCATTTAATTCTTAAAATAGTCCTCAGTTAATTTTACCCATCTTACAGGTAAGGAACCAGGCTCAGAGTAAGTAACCTGCCAACATTCATATAAGTAAGTGGCTAAATGTGGATTCAAACTAAATCTGTTTAACCCAGAGCCTACATGCTTTTTACTAGATCTTGTCACCCCCTTAATGGTATTCAGGTATTATTTGTGGTATGGAGTTCTTTACCTCCAGCAAAATTCATCGTTTTCCCCATGATAAATGTAGTGTTCTAAAATAAATCTCATCAAATTCCTACTGTAGTATTTCATATAGGATCAGGATACAAATGTCTTATATGTCAGCCTTTTACTCTATGTAGTTTAAAATTGGTATTACCATGTCATAGGCCATGATCAGAAGTGATTAGGCAGAAAGAAAGCTTTACTTTTGTGCAAGAATTTTTGGTCTTGCAAACAGGGATGTAAAGGTTACTTGAATTGATAATAAGGTGTTGTTATCTGTACAAGTAAATGGATAATGAATAAACATGAAAAGCAGACACATCTGCAGTTTCACAAAATTTAGTCTCTCTAATTTGACTTAATTTCATATTTTATTCAGATTGAGAAATTTGTGGCCTAATACTATCATAATAATTAAAATTTTGTTTCATAATTAGTTTTAAGGACCTTCAAAAAATATAGTTTTCAAGAGGTAAAAAAAAATATCCCTTTCTTGCCACAAACATAGTTATCAATGTTGGGAAGCTAAATTTATCATTTCCTTAAATTATCATGCTAGCAAACTATATGTCTCCTCTTCCTGATACTATAACACAATATAAAAATGCCTCATTCATCTGGCATCTTTAACAAATGAACTCTTCCTCGAAGTTAATTTTCTGCAGAAATGAAAATTATTCCATTTAGTGCCATAATTTTTAACATGTTTGTTGGATCTCTTAGGTTATACATTTTACTGGCTTCTTAAATTGAGAATAATTAGTGTAATTTAAATTATCTCAGTGACAGGATCTTTAGTATGAAGACCAATTATTAGATAATGATTACCTAAGGAAAGGTGAAAAGGTTTTGCCATTAAACTAAATGTGGTGTACAGGACCTTACTTTCTAAGCTATCATATCTGCTTCTCTGTTTTTGTTCTCTCTTGTGGTCAGTTACTACTTGCTAGTTAAAATGTTTCCTATTTTCCTTCAGCTTTTTTTCCATCTAATTTGCCAATTCTAATTGACCATCAGTTGGGAAAGCATATCATTAAACTTTTTAAAATTATGTTTGGTCAGAGGGTAGTCCTGAAACATTTTCCTAATGACATACTCAGATTTTGGTGCATGGACTTCTTCACATTGCTGGCTGCTTAAATGTTCTTAAGTGGGATTTGCTGTTTAAGTAAGATGTCTTAACATCCTAACAATAAGGACTTCTGAATTATTTTGTATTATTCTAAGAGTTGAATTGTAATTATAGTAGTCTTAAAAAGTCTAAGAATACAAGTGATGAAGTTAACCACAAAACATTGTTTTAACATCTGTAGAGGATTTCATATTTTTTTCTTAAAAATTAGTTACATAAAGCCAGGTTTGATGACACATGCCTGAAATCACAGCAGCTCAGGAGGCTGTAACAGGACGATTGTGAGCTCAAAGCCAGCCTCAGCAAAAGTGAGGCGCTAAGCAACTCAGTGAGACCCTATCTCTAAATAAAATACAAAATCGGGCTGGGGATGTGGCTTAGTGGTTGAGTGCCGAGTGCCCCTGAGTTTAATCCCCAGTAACCCCCCACCCGCTTTGCAAAAAAAAAAATAGTTATATGTTTAGCCTGGGGAACTAGTCATTGCAATGGCACAGGTGGTTAAGCAAGTGGCCTTGGTCTACTTAGGTGCATTCATTTCTACAAATATTTTTAATAATTTAATATTTTATATTGTAGAAATATCTGTGAGTCCTAGTCCTAGATCTGTGTTGAGTATAGAAAATGTCTAATTCCATTTCTCTAAAGACCACCCTTTAGTCTCTTTTAAGTCATTTCTTTTATAAGCTAATTAATTCCTTCAGTCATTAGTCCTATGGAATAGTTTCCAGGTTCATGATTCTCTTTTGAATGGCACCAGTATCAATATCCACTTAAAATATTGTATTCATAAATGTATGCAGAGATGTCTAAATGCATGCATGGGAATTTTATTCTCCTTCAGCTGGCATTATACTTCTATTAATGCAATCTGAATTTGTACCACCCTTTTAGCCTCCACATCATACTTTACTTAATAGGCACTGTAACAAAAACCTCTGAGCCTCTTTCAGAATACTTTTCAATGACTTCTGTCACATGTGGTATTTTTGTGATTAGTTGCTTAAACTTCAAAGCTGCCATTTGAATTTATCATGATTATATTTTTATTAATTTCATTTGAGTATACTTTTTAGCATATGAATATTTTTATTCATTAACAGTATTAAAATTTCTGCTTATGTGTCTCACAATAGATGGGTTGGGGGTGGAGGGAGGAGTGGAGGTTCACAGGATTGGGGTAGGTGGATGGGGAAGAAGGAAGGAGGAATAGGAATGGGAAAGACAGTAGAATGAATCCGACATAACTTTACTGTGTTCATATATGGATACATAACTCCACATCATGTACAACCACAGAATGGGAAGTTATACTCCATGTATGTATGCTATGTTAAAATACATTCTACTGTCATTGATAACAAAAGAACAAATAAATAAATAAATAAAATTCCTGCATACTTTCACATTACCTGAAGGTCTATAGGAACCAACTAAGTTATTCATAAACAAGAGAAATCAAATGTAGAACCTTTAGGAAGTGGCACTAAGGACCTTTTCTGAAATGACAAGGTCTGTTAATTACCAAATTTTTTGGATATAGTTTTCAACCATCTAGGCTTTTCTAATGCTAGTCTTTTTTTTTTTTTTTTTTTTTGTCAGTTGCCTTGCAGACATCAAGATATACTATGTTTGCATGGTGTTCTCTATTTAATAATTTCATATCTCTTTCAGAATGTGGGAAGGAAGTTCATTGGACATGAACTATACCTAATGCACTCATGTGTATCATACATAATTCCATCCTTGGTGAGCACTGTACCACTGAGACACACCTGGGCTCCATCCTTTTCTGAATATAAATATCCTATTGAGAAAAAGGGAGAGGCTTAATCCTAATATATAGGATAAAATAATTATCTCTAAAGAGATTTAATTTAAAAGTTTTTTTCTGTTTTTCATTTAATATGCATTTGTTAAATATCAATTTCATATCAGACAGAAGACAACACAAAACTGAATAAAATGTGGTTAGGGTTAACATTACCTAACTTCTGAGGGTTTCTTACCCTCAGAAAGCTTGTATTTAAGAGGAAGGTAAGATATGTATACATATTGCAGAATCTATTATTAACTTCTAATCATAGAGAAGTACAGAGTAATACCTGAATTTAAAAAATAAAGACTTCTGATGGAGATATGGAAGAGTTCAGGGAAGATTTCATGTAGAAATTGAGTTAAGGTTTTGTCAGAGACTGGAGAATATGTACTAAGAAATGGAACCAGCATGAGAGAGCACCAGCATCAGGAAATGTATCATGTTTGTGAAGCAAGGAATCATGAAATTTGACTGCAGCACAGGATGTGTGAATGGGAAAAAAAAAAAAAAAGGTAGATTGAGGTACTTCAATGCCCTGATAAGATTCGAGACTTTGGGGCTAGGGTTTCAGCTCAGTGGTAGAGCACTTGTCTAGCACATGTGAGGCACTGGGTTCAATCCTCAGCACCACATAAAAATAAATGTATTGTGTCCATCTACAACTAAAAATATTTTTTTAAAAAAAAAGATCTGAGACTTTGTTAAAAAGTGGGGAATCTTTGAGATTTTGATTCAGAAGATCAATGTAAGTAAACTAAGTTATAAGAGCATTCATTTATTCAATCAATATCTATGTTTTATTTGCCTTCACTATACTAGAGATAAATGAATAAAAACAGGCATAGTCCCTGCCTTCGGGAATTTTAAGGTAGAAAGAAATTATTCAATAGTAATGCTACTATAAAATTGACCTGAGGAGACTAAGGAGCATCATATAGTCCTATGTGAGCATGTAATGGGGTCTTACTTCCAGAAGGATGTCAGGGAAGAATTCCCCTCACGGGATTTTCATGTTAAAGCAAATTTTTGAAAGCTGCGGATGAGTACATTAAAAACCAGTTGAAAAAAAAAAAAACAGGGTAAAGCTATAATGACAAAGGTTTATGCAAAGCCCCTGCAACTAAAGGAAAATGGTGAGTATAAGGACCTGCATAGAAGAGTAGGGGATAGTAGGAAAACAGAAAGCAAAGTTCACAGACCACTGAGACATTTCCATCTAAGTAGGCCCATGAAATTAATAAGCATATTTGTCTAAAATCTTTTGGAATACTTTGCTGATTTTTATTATATCTTTCATAATGTCAAAAGTAGATAAATTTTCTTTTTCAATTTTTCTTTTTTCTTGTCCTTTTTTCTTTTCTTTTAGTTTTTTAATTTTTTTGTTCTTGTTTTAACCTAGCATTAGGAAACCTGAGGTTAAAAACTTTTAGTAAATATCCTTGATATCTGCCGGTGTCTGCTGCTGTATTTTTAATAAAGGTAATTCACCCATCAGGCATTTTTAAGAAGAAACCATAATGACATTATTTTCTTGATATGTAGGGTTGGATGTGTCCAGAGCCTGCATCAGAAAGGGAGGACTTGGTATATTTTGAACATAAATCATTTACTAAATTGTGCAAGGAGCATGATGGAGAACTTACTGGAGAAGAAGAAAACAGTGTAAATGCACTAGAACGGAAGAGTGACAACCCCCTAGATATAGCTGTAACCAGGCTGGCTGATTTGGAGCGGAACATTGAAAGAAGGTATCTGAAGAGCCCCTTAAGTACCACCATTCAGATCAAACTGGATAATGTGGGCACAGTTACTGTCCCTGCTCCTGCACCATCCATTAGTGGTGATGGTGACGGGTAGGTTATTGAGATTAACTTGAAAAATTATTGTGCTTCTTTGCTAAATGGAGCCTATTTTCTATTGCCTGTTATCTATGTATCTTCTTGTATGTCTGTGGTCCATATGGATCATGCTATTTGCATGGTGCTTTGTAAAAACATTTTTTTTTTGTTATGTGCATTGATAATCCTGCAAAGTGATCTTACATTTACCTGGTTGTGACTAAGCTTTAAGGCACGTAGCCACAGTCTGTGCACTACATCAAATTTAGTTGCTTAAACTTTATACTTATTGGCTGTTACATGTTTTTGTCATTGCTTGGCTTTCAGTGTGATGATTGTTTCACATTCAGTGATCATAAATGTGGATATGACCTACTTAATTTTTCTATATTTCAATGCAGAATTGAAGAGGATATTGCTCCAGGGCTCAGGGTATGGAGAAGGGCATTATCAGAAGCTCGCAGTGCTGCACAGGTAGCACTGTGCATTCAGCAATTACAGAAATCAATAGCATGGGAAAAATCAATTATGAAAGTTGTAAGTGTTTTTATTTAAGAAATACTATAACTAATTTACTTTGTCCTGTTTTTTTCCAACCTCCAGATCTTAATTTTATATTAGCTACTGTCACAGTAATTTACACTGTACTAGAGAGTTTGTCTAATTCTTAAATACCATATAAAAATCTAATAATTTCCTCCTTGAGTTTTTGAAGGAACCTACTAAATTTGTTACCTTTGATTTTTTAAAATCTTGCTTCTGCCTCCTTTTGATGTTGTTTATAATTCTAACTTAAGTTGTTTTCTACATTCTGCTGGTATCACTCAGTTGTTAATCTAAATACTTTTGAAGGTCCTTTCACTCTTGTCAACATTCCAGTTGCTAACATTACCTATAAATACTGCATTCCTAAAATGTTTTATTTTTCTATCAGTTTTCATATCTTTAATGCTAAAAAGTCCTCAGATAAATAAATCCAAAATGAATACAGCTCTAATTTCAGTTATGTGTTTGCATCCAATATAGTTATATGGAGAGTAGATATTTTAGTCTTTCCTACAGTGATTAAAACTGGTTTTTCACTTTCTATGTACAAGTTCAATTAGTTATTATTAGCCCAATTAATTATTGTCCTATAGTAAGCCTCTACTTTGTCCCAGGCTCTAAAATGCTTTGTATTCAAAAGATTTATATTCTGGAGTGAGACTTATTTTTAACCATGTATAAGTGTCCCTCTTGTCTACTTCCTATATCATATACAGAATTATCCAATATATGTAGACTTTTATGAATCACTTTAACATTTACTTTTGAATTTGCTTTAAAATTTAAACATTTGAAATTTGTTTTCATGAATGGCTTTACTTAAACAGTCATTCCCCAAAAGAAAGATCCTTAAATAATTTATCTTTCTTTCATTCATTTTTAGCTCTATGCTTAGACTTACTCAAGGCCTAATACATTTTATACAGATACATTTTTCTTCTATGTGTGATTTTTCTTTTTCTTTTTTACTTCTTCCTAACTTCCTAACATGTAATGGAATTTGTAAAATATGCTCAAATTTAGGTCTTTCTCAACCAAATTTGAATACACTATAAGTTTTAAGATATTATTCAGTTCATCTGACAGCATTTATACTGGGTAAAAATATTTTTTCTTCTAAAAATTATTATTAAAATGAGTTTTAAAGTCACGTTGGACAAATGTATTTGCTGAAATATAGGTGATAATTATCAAAAAAGATTGAGTTTTACATCAAAATGAAACTTGTAGATTTTTTTTCTATCCACACCAAAATAATAATCATGATATGGTGAATTTTGCTGTAAACCTAAACAAATAAAATCTGTTCTTATATTATTTACTTTCTACAATCTAAAGCATTCCTTCCATTTTCACAAATTCATTAACCTTACCTATGTTATTAACATGCTTTTATCATCATTTAACTCTACTTCTCATAATCTTCAATTTGGAAAAAAATGTCTAATAATACTTTATTTGCAAGCTGGTGCTGCAGCTCAGTGGAATAACACTTGCCTAAACAAGGTCTTGGGTTTGACTCCCCAGCACTGCAAAAAGATAGGAAGGAAGGAAAGGAAAGGAAAGGAAAGGGAAGGGAAGGGAAGGGAAGGGAAGGGGGAAGGGGAAGGAAAGGAAAACATAACATTATTTGCTTTGGAACTGCTTTTAAAAGAAGGTGAGAATTTCGTATTCAAAGATTAACAAGCCAGTTGCAGTAGTGCATACCTGTAACCCCAGCTACTTGGGAGGCCAAAGCAGGAAGATGGCAAGTTTGAGGCTAGCTTTAGCAGCTCAGTAAGACCCTCACAATAAAAAAATAAATAAAAAGGATGGGGGATGTATCTCAGTGGTAGAGCCTCCCTGGGTTCAATCCCCAGTACAAAAGAAAAAAATTAATAAGCACTATATAACCTTAAATTAAAGAGGTAACAGTGCCTATAATAGTTCTCATAATAAATTCAAGTAACATGTTGACGTGTTCAGTACTTTTAGAAATGCTCTCTTGGCCAGAGACCTAGCTTACCAAGAAAGAAGGAGCTGTCAATTTGCTGCCAGATAATTCTCTGCCATATGCTATTGTTGATGTTAAATAATAGGCAACATCCACTATTTTTAACTCTTAATAACAGGTATTCAAACCAAATATTAATACATTTTTTCCTCTAACATTGTGAGTTGTTACTGATTTTTCAAAACTTATTTTATTTGCTTATTTTTGTATGTGGTGCTAAGGATTGAACCCAGTGCCTCAATACAGCTAGGCAAGCGCTCTGCCACTAAGCCACAACCCCAGCACTCACTCTTTTCTTTAAATGTATCAAAATTAATTTTAAATCACAAACATGAGAGGTAAAACAGACTTTACAATATTTTTAGTTATCTATTGTAGAAAGCAGAATTGACGCATCATCATGAAATCTGATTTTTTAATATTATTATAGGGATTTAAATATAATCTTCTGAATTTCTCAATGATGTTTCTGTTTCTACAATAGACGTTTTAAAGATGTAACTCATTTTGCAAAATAACTAACCCCATCTTATAGTATTTAGTGATAATAGTATTAGGAAGTTCATAAAAAAGATACTTATTGGGCTGGGGATGTAGCTCAAGTGGTAGTGCACTCGCCTAGCATGGTGAGGCACTGGGTTCGATTCTCAGCACCTCTAAAAAAATAAAATAAAGATATTGTGTCTACCTAAAAATAAATATTTAAAAAAGATACTTATTTAAATATGAAACTCAGCTGCTTTTGCTGCTGATTTTAATATTACATATACAGTAGATGTATTGGATAGATATTTGTTAGCATGAATAGTATGTATTTTGGTAAGGTTCTTAAGCTATCATTGTTATACATATTGACTATTTTGGACTTTCCAAGACAGATATAATAATAAATAATAATTAAACAATTAATAAGTAAACAAACCAAGTTTAAGGTTATATAAATAGTTAACTTTAAATTAGTATAAATGAAATTCAGCTTAAATGTTTTCATTTTTTAAAATATTAATTGCAGGACACTTTCAACTATGACTGGAATTTGAAGTAAACATCAAAAAAAATTTAGTGCTTACTATTTTTTTGTTTTTACTTGACTAACTTTTCTTCTTTTCCTTTATGAAACTTGCTATACAAAATATGTATGCATGGAAGAAAATCTCTTAGTAATAAAAGATTTTTTCAATAAAGAAGAAATGATTATATTGTGAGTTCTAAAAAACAAATTATGACCTCTTAAATTCTTTAATATATTCTATCTATATTTTCTTTTGAAATCATTTCATAAAATTAATTTTCTACTCGTGTGACATATGTTTGATTTCAGTCAATTTTCCAACTTTCCTGGTTTGGGCACATTTTTTAGTGAATCACAAGACATAGGTGGATAATTTAGTCAAAGCCTAGGGATATCTTTTATTATTATATATAATTATATACTAATACAAGTTTCTTAATCTTGATCTTCAAAATTAACTCTTATTTCTTTCTCAGAATATCATGAGGATGCTAAGATAAGCAAAAAATGAAACACATTTTAAAAACACCATGTATTAAAGCTATTCATTGCTTTATGTGCTCTAATGTCATGTTAATATTTCATATGTTAATGTATACATGCTTCTGAAGTGTGTGCAGGCATTCAACTTCTAGCTTTGTTCTTTGCAGTGTACCTGAAATGTGCATTGACCCCAATAGAACTGCTCACCCCGTCATGTGGTCCATATCTGTGTAACGAGAGATACATAGATGTGTATGGCTATTGTATATTTGTTAGCAAGCGGAATGTTCATTACTAATATAAATGAGAAATTATGGTGTATATAACATCCCAGTAACTATTATTCATAGCAGAGGGTTAATTCTAAATAATTTTTCATATATTATAGTACTGCCAAATATGTCGAAAAGGAGATAATGAAGAACTACTTCTCCTTTGTGATGGCTGTGACAAAGGCTGTCATACCTACTGCCATAGACCCAAGATTACAACTATACCAGATGGGGACTGGTTCTGTCCAGCTTGCATTGCTAAGGTAAGACTAATGTAGAACTAAACTTTTTAATAACAAGATCGAAATGCAGACTTTTATGGCAGTTTCTTTTGTGAGGTATAATTCACATGCCATAAATTCACCATCTTAACAATTTAGTGGTTTTTATTGTACTCACAAAGTTGTACAAATGCCACCACTAATTCAGAACATTTTCATAACCCCAGAAAGAACCCTTTGTACCCGTTAACAGGAACTTCCCGTACCTCTCTACCCCTAGTATTTGGTAATCCCTAACCTATTTCTTATGGATTTATCTATTCTGGTCATTACATATAAATTTAATCATACAATATACGGCCTTTAGTGTTTGGCTTCTTTCACTTACCACAATGTTTTTTTTAAAGTTCATCGATTATTTACTTCCTTTTTAGACATAAGTATTATTCCATTGTATGGTTTTACTACATTTTGTTTATCCATTCTTCAGCTGATGGTGGTCTCCACCTTATGGCTGCTACAAATAGTCTGCTTTGAACATTCACATGCAAGATTTTGCTTGAATATGTGTTTTTGGTTCTTTTGGGTATAAACCTAAAAGTAGAATTGCTAGATCTTATGGTAATAAGCATCTGTGTTTAACATAATTTTCTAGTCACATTTGAAATAGAAACCTGTGAACTCTCACACCAATTAAGAGAGAAGCAATACAATAAAAGAGAAAGAAATGGGTTTGGTAATTAAAAGGTAAAGGAGTAAGAAATTTTATGGATCAACATATATTCAAGGTCAGACTTTTTGTTAGGTATTCTCTATCCCCCAATCACTGTTCTCCAAGTTTAAGTTATTGACTACTGCCTCTCCAACTGAAGCCCAAATTTCCATTTGTCTATTGTACCCTTTCTTTCCAGTTCACTCCCTCTAGTCCTCCAGTAATCCTTTGATCTCACTTGAACCTTCAATATATTTATCTTAAGACCTCTTCACTCTCTTCTCCCTTCATGTCCTCTCTTTCCACCTAATCTGACTTATGTCAATATTCCATTATCATAATCTACATATTTTATTATAAATCATTGAATTTACTATTTACTTCTCTCTCACTTTATGAAATAAACTATTATTCTAGTTAATCCAACTCTGTCTTTTCTAGCACCTATTAGTTATAAGAAAAATGCGATACACACGTTTTTGCCTGAAATACAAAATGCAGCCCTTTAAATACAAGGTGCTAATCAGGCCTTTAATAATGACTGATGATTTATTTCCAGTTTTGTTCCCTCCATCCATTCTGAGATAATGACCTTATTTCTCATTCCACTGAGAAAATGGAAGCCTTTGGAAGAAAAGCACATGTATCATCCTTCAGCATCAGGGCTCATATCCTTATCTTCTCTCCTGTTGCCCTCAGCTTCTGGTGCTCCTAACTGAGCCAGTTTCCTTACTCATGCCTCAGGGGCCATCCCTCTTACCTCCTTAGGAACATTACTTCAGCAGTTCTCCCTTTACATCTTTAGTTTCTCCTCTCCACCTGCTTCATCTCACCTATCTATTGACATCCTACTTTTTCTCTCATCTTAAGAAAAACCTTCTGCTTTCACTTCTCCCTTGATCCACTTTCCTTGTCTCTCTCATTCCCTTTACACAGAAAATTTCTTGGAAAGTTTTTTGTTCTGATTCTCTACACTTGATCTTAGCCAAAAGGCCAAGGAACAATGCCCCAATTTCTAACCCCAGTTCACTCTTGAACTTATTCTAGTCAATTCCACAGCTTCTCAAAAATAGCTCTTATCATGGCCACAAATTTGATCAGTGCTTAGCTTTTTTGACCTGTCAGTTACATATGAATACAGTTGAACAGTCCTTCATTCTTTTGAAACACTGTTTTTCACTTAACTTCTCAGATTCCATACTTGCCAGGTTTTATTCCTCCTTTTGTTCCTTCTCAATCTTTGCTGATTTTTTTTCCCACCTGCTTGATCTGATCTCAACTTGGGGCTATCATCTGTAAAATGAGATTGTATCTACTTTGTAGGAATTTGTGAGGATAAAATAAGATCATGTGTGGGAAAGTTTTTTTTTAATAAATGTAGAGTTCTATAAAGTGTTTATAGTAAAATTTTATTATATTTTAGACCATGTTTTATAAGTGCCTAAGTGGCATGTTATTCAATAGTAGTTGTTTTTTGACTTCTTATTACTTGATCATTTTGTCATATATAATTAAATGTAGTTCAACAGTAATCTTCACTTTCTGTACATAAATGACTTTTAGCTTCATAACTGTCAAGTTATAGAAAATCTACTCAATATTTTATGTATTAAAGATAAGTGTTTTTAAGTCTTGTTGGTATCAGTAGGCTGTTGGAGGTTTTTTTTTCTAATAAAATTTCTTAAATTACAGTTCTGGCTATCATTCAGAGTGGTGTTACATTATTAGTAGGCACATTATCTCATCCAAGTCTTTTGGTATGAATGCAGCTTTCTAGACTTTTGCTTTTGTTCTTGTTTTTGTTTTTTAAATGCAGTAAACTATACATTATATTTCTTACGACAAAAAAAAACAGGATTCTGATCATCTGTTTTTGATGTGTGAGGAAAAGTTACATTTTAAAAATATCTTTCCATTTAATTCATAATTAAGTGCAAATATCCATACTGTACATCTTGCCCTCAAATGGTTATTTCTGCCTATAACAGGGTTAGCTATTTTTATACTCTGTGTATATATTTATTTATGTATAAATGTGATCACAGGATCATGGAATCAAAGGATGTGTGTGTACACACACACAGACTCACATACTAGAATTTTCAAACTATAGTGCCTACAAAAACCAAGTAAATAGCAGAAGAGTTTTTGGACCCTTAGTGTGGGCACTGTGACAAAGTCATGTTCCCATTTAAATGTAATAGTATTCACTCAACTCCCACCATTTTTTATCATGTAGAAACATGAGCCCAGTCTTATAGGATCTTCTCATAATTCAGGAGATGTCAAGATTTTTATGTATGTCCTCCCAAATTTAATGTTGGAAACAAATTCAGAATTCTTACAAGCATTCTATAAGCCAAATAGCATATGCTGTGGGCTGTTTCAGTTTGAGCCATCATTTCACAACTTCTACTATATAAATATACAAATATAACAGATATGCACCTTTGAACACTTAATCTGATAGGTTTTTCCTAAGACCTATTGAAGTTCCTCTTTGAATTTTGGCTCTAGCAAGAAAGGGAAGGAGGGACCTGTGTCTAAGAACAGTTGTATTGTTAAGAGAGTCCTTTTTATCATCTGTAAATCCCTTTCAGTTAGTGACCTAGTCTAAAGGATACTTGTGATAAGTTCTATTCTAATTTTAAGAATTCTTCAGATAAATAGGCTTTTCATGCTTTATTAATAAGGTTTTATATTATGGGAGAAATTCACAGATCTCTCTTGAAAATAATAGAAATAACCTTTAGATCAGGATTAATATTTCTTAATATAGAAGGTCTATAAACAATTTTTTACACTTCATTTACTTTTTAAAAATTCTAGGCAAGTGGTCAAACTATAAAAATCAAAAAACTTAACGTCAAAGGAAAAAAGTCTAATGAATCGAAGAAAGGCAAGAAAGTAACTTTAACAGGGGATACTGAAGATGAAGACTCTGCATCTACAAGTAGTTCACTAAAAAGAGGAAACAAAGACCTCAAAAAAAGAAAAATGGAGGAAAATACTTCTATTAACTTATCAAAACAAGAAAGTTTTTCTTCTGTTAAGAAACCCAAAAGAGATGATTCTAAGGACCTAGCTCTTTGCAGGTATTATTTCAATTTTCATGTATTATGTAACATCCCATTTTATTTGTTTTAGAAACATTTTTACCACATTAAAATTACTTTCTAAAATTTTATAAATATAAAAATGTATAGTATAAGTGTAAAGCTATATTATCTTTTTTAATATATTTGCATTGACTTATTACTTTTAAAAGAGAGCAGAAAGAGACTACTGGGTGTGATGCCACACCCCTATAATCCCAGTGGCTCCAGAAGCTGAGGCAAGAGGATTTCGCATTCAAAGCCAGCCTCATCAACTTATCGAGGCCCTAAGCAACTCAGCAAGACCCTGTCTCTAAATAAAATACAAAAAAGGGCTAGGATGTGGCTCAGTGGTTAAGTGGGTTAAATCCCTAGTACCAAAAATAATGATAATAAAAACATAATTCTAAAGTATAGATACTGATTGCAAATATCATTTTCTTTAGTATGATCCTGACTGAAATGGAAACTCATGAGGATGCTTGGCCTTTCCTACTTCCTGTAAACTTGAAACTTGTACCTGGTTATAAGAAAGTTATTAAGAAACCTATGGACTTTTCCACAATTAGAGAGAAACTGAGTAACGGACAGTAAGTAAATCATTTCAGTTCAATAAATATTTATCAAATCCCCAATATGTGCTGTACATTTTCCTAGAGAGTCAAAGACATTTTACTTAATAGCAAACATACAAGTCCCACTTCTAGAGGGACTTATGTTTGGCTAGGGTAGTTAGATATGAAAAACAAGTCAATTAAAATTATTTAAGGAATAAAAACAGTGTGATAAACCCATTTTTTGACAACAAACCAGACTAGGGGGGAAGGAAAAATATCAGAGGAACCTTTCAAAGTAACATATAAACAGAGTTTATATTGTACATTAATAGAATATTATCACCATCTCATGTGGATTTAACAAAATTAATATTTCATATTATTGCCATATAGAAAGAGATCATTGGCAATTTTAAAAATTAAAAGTGTTATAAGTTGTTGGAGAATATTGAAAATCCATCTAAGGATATATAAGAAAATCTTCTCCTTTATTTTATGTTCTGCTTTCATTCTATCCCAAAAATAAAGTGACTTCCTAGCCTTAGTTAATGATCTTTGTCAGACCATCTCAAAATTGTGCCAGAGAGTTACCACTTAATTAGTGTAATTTAGATGGTTCAGGACAGTGTCCCACTTTGGAGCCACAAAAATGAGAATGTTCACTTGCAGAACAAAGACATTCCATGTGAGAATGGCCAGGATCCCCAGAGCTGTATTCTTTGGCCTATTTTCCCCTTGCTTTCTTTATTTCTACATACCAGATTAGCTTAATGTAGACTATGCCCATTACTTCAGGTGAAGTCAGAAAAATATACATAGAAATAAGGAAATATACATTGAAAAAATAACTATATATATATATATATATATATATATATTATTTTGTTTTTACTATACTATATGTGGTATAGTTTTTCCATAACATTCTTTTGGTGAATATCACTGTGCTTGTGGATTTATATTCCACTTAGAAGAATTGAGTAGAATTTAAAACGTTCAATATCCCTCTCACATCAAGTGATTTGCTGGATTGAACAAATGACTGTAGTAGTTTATTTTGAGGACAAAATAACTGCCTTTCAAAGAATTATATTTGCTTTGTTTTACTTTTTTAAAAAATTACAGAAGGGATATTCCCAAACACAGGAAACATTGAAAAACATTAAATTGTTGGTTTTAAGATGAACCAAACAGCAGAAATTGTTGTCTAGAGATGGCTTTTTCTGTCTGCCAAAAAGTCAGATAAGTCTTCACTTCAGTAGCACAATGGAATTTATAATTAATACAGCCAGATCAGAGATCTACATGTGAAAACTTAATAAGTGATTAACTCTTGATTCATGATCTTCCAATTCCTGGATGGAAGATCAGCCTAAAACTCAAAATATCCAAAACAAACAGGCTTAGAAATTGACACAAAATAACCAAAAAGGCTACAAAATCAAACTGGCTTTTGAGAATGAGTCTCCTGGTAAATGTCAGAAGTATAATCCTATTTGTGATGACAGCTGTGTGAGAGGTGAAATTCTGTGGATTCAGGCTCTCCTAACTTCATGTTGTTCGATTAAACCCAAAGTAATGAGTTGGAATCAAAACTCACAAACTATTTCAAACTTTTAGACAGTTCATAGAACACAGGGAAGGAAATATCTGCTCTAATGAATTTTTCTGGGTTCTGTTAACTTTCCCATCCTTTTCTAAAGGAAAAGTACAAATAGAGTATTGCACTCTTTTTTAACTAGAATCTCACCTATAATTCTCTACTAGATTCTGGTCTCCTTTACATTAATTATTAACCTTTTCTTACATAAGAAAGAGTGTAAAGGAGAGTAATATTCCTCAAAGTAACTTTAAAATATTTTATAAAAGTCATTTCCACACATTGTATAAAAAAATTCCACACATTGTATTACATAAAATATCCAAAATAGGTAAATCTATAGAGACAGCAAGACTGGTGCTTGCCAAGGACTAGGGGAAGGAGCAACAGAGCATAACTGCTTATTGGTATACTTTTTCCTTCTGGAATGATGATATTGTTTTGGAAATAGAAGTGATGGTAGCATAGTGTCATAACTATTAAATACCACTGAGTTATCCACTTCAAAATGACTTATTTGGTGTTGTATAAATTTCTTTACCTCAAGTTTTAAAAAAGTAAATAATCCCCAGAAAAAGAAGAAAATGAATGAAGTTACATAAGGGCTGACTTCAGTCTTCTTTAGCATATCAGAGATAAATAAATTTTATTTCTTTCAGTATGGAACATATTAGAAAGAGGGAGTGAAATGTTGTACAAGGTATTTTATGAAAGAAATAGAAAGCCACTTTTACATGGCCTCAGAGCTTTAGTGGTTCATAGGGTATTTATAATGGTTAAATTATTTTAGTATCCAGCTTGTTGTAGATTATAATTAATATAATATTTAAATTTCCAAAAGCCTTCTTCCAAAATGTATTGAATTGGCCAGAGATGGCTTCAAGTGACTACTTATTTCTCACTAATAAGTTTAGTCAGATATATTTATTTTTCTGTTCTCATCTCAGTATTCTTGAGAAAGAGAATTGAGCTTATCCACTTGAAAAGCCCTAAAGCCATAGTATCTCTTTATCTTATTAGAGAGCAGTCGCTCATAATATTACCTCTGTTAAAGAGAGAGCACATGGATTTGGGGTTTTTTTTCTTTGGGTGGTTTTTTTTGTTTTTGTTTTTGTTTTTGCTTGTTTTGGTTCATCATACAGTATTCTCCCCTTCCATGTTTGGGCAAACCATGGATAATACTATGCTTTTTCTTATACATACATCTCATGATAAAATTTAACTTATATAAATTAGACACTAAGAAATCAACAGCAATAATAATAGAACAATTTTAACAATATTCTATAATAGAAGTTATGTTAACATACACTTGCTCTTTCTCTCCCTCTGGAATTTACCATTTAATGTTTAACACTTTTGACCATGGCTAACTGAAACCACAGAAAGTGAAACTGGGTGGTAGTTTCACTTCCATCACTGGATGGTAGTAGGAGTGGGGTGCTTGAGCAAAAGATCATATTTGAAAAGAGAAGAGAAATGGGGAAGATTTAGCCCAAAGTAGCACATCCTAGAATTGTACAGCATAAGAAGCATTTACATAATTTTTCACTGCAACTGAACCCATTTGAATGTGGATAACAGAATACACAAGTGAATACTGTTGGTCAAAGGAATCAATAAACTAGTCAGGTAGGAGGAGTTCTGTAACAGAATTGTGACACAAGTCAAACAGGAAATGGGATGTAGGGGAATTACCAGTTAATTGAAAAATATCTTGATCTTAAGGGAAATCTGGGTGAGTTTTTTTTCCATTTAATCTGTATATAAACAAGTATAGTTTAGAACACATGACATTTTTAAATGTTACATTCATAAGAGTGTTTACATATCTTTGTATCAGTTTAAATAGTTATACTAAACTGCCTTTTTCCTTTCAGTTTTCTTGTTTTACATCTTTTTTTAACCATTTCATTTGCTTACAGAACAAAACCAATGAAACCAGTCTCTAATTATGTGTTTTCTTACAGGTATCCAAACCTTGAAACCTTTGCTGTAGATGTCAGGCTTGTTTTTGACAACTGTGAAACATTTAATGAAGATGATTCTGATATAGGCAGAGCTGGCCACAATATGAGGAAATATTTTGAAAAAAAATGGACAGATACTTTCAAAGTGAGCTGAAGTTATAATACTCTCTTTATTTTTTTTCCTTTTAAACAAAGACAAATGAGACCAGCAATGTGAACTGTATTTACATAAATGTGCAAGGCACATACAAAATGACTTTTTTTTCCTTAAAATAAGTATCAGAAAATATCAGAAGATATACCATTTTTAAAGGCTTCACTCCTATGACAACCAAAACCCTTGGTTATTGGTTTGTGTGATTTATCAGCTAATTTAGGTAGAACAGGGAAGCACACCCAAAGAATTTTCAAAGGAAAGGGTGTTATAGTGCAATAGCAGTTAAAATATATCAAATCGCACTGAATATTCAACACCAGAGCTCTAATGTGGGAAATGGTTCTCCTTTCCCTCTCAATAAATATCTATTTTTCATTTTTTTACTTTGTAGTTTATTTTTTAGTGAATGTATTTAATTTTATGAATTATTTATGATTAAACCACATCCAGAATCTTCGTTTTCTGTGAAAAGGAAGAACTAGAAAATTGCTTTAAATCTTGAAAATACAACAAGGAATGTTTTAAAATATAAAACAAAGCCAAGTTAAACTGTTTACACTGATGTGCTATAAAAGCACCAAAAATAAACTTTACTGTAGAGTTACAAGTACATTTATATATATATATATATATATATATATATATATATATATATACATATATATATATATATATATGTTGCTGCATCACTTGTGTAGTTAAATTGTATTTCAAGACAGTGAAAAAGATTGACATGTATATACTGTTCATTATTGTTTATATTAAGTCTTGTTTTAAATATGTATTATGTGTATATATTGTTTGCAGACATTATTGTTTATGCCTTAGAAGGACTGTAGCATCTTATTTTAGTCTGAAGGTGATGATAGCTATACAGCTTGTACAGTAATTATCCTCTACCAACACTGTGGCGTCTCCCTAATCTTGGTAGTGCCTGCCTTTGAAACAGGGTGTAGGGGATATTAGTTTTCCATTTTTCTATTTTGTTATATAATTTTAAGCCACCAGGGCCTAAATTAAAGTATAATCATTTGTATCCATGTGGAATAAAATCGTGACAATTTCCTACACACACAGTATTTTTTCATAGAGACATTTCCCTCCCATTTGCCTTGCCTCAGAAATAAATTTAAAAGACATTTGTAACCACTGTGTTTTATCTACTGTGTGTTGTGGTGGCCTGTTGGAGGCAAATAGATCAGAAATTTTTTTTTGTACTTATGTAAGAGTACTTGAAGTTTTATTTAAAATAAAATGTTGTGGAAAAGGTAGCATTCTTTTTTTTTTAGGAGTGTTATTTTTCACTATGTGTGGCACGGATACAATAAAAAAATCTTTTACAAACTAGTTTTTTTTTTTTTTTTTTTTTTAGTTTTTCTTAATGAACTTGAAAATACATTGGTTTCAAAAAGCCAGTTAATTTAAAGTTTGATTTACAGAGTCCTACAGGAGGACCAGTGTGTGGAATGTGGTTCAGAGAGCACTGGGCTGGGTGAAAGTAGATGGGTATACATAGACCCTTTGAGTTTCATGAAGCTGTAAACCTTTCTGGACCTTGTTTTATTTCTTGTTTCACATTTTCAATGTGAAATATTAGAATACTTTTTTAAGATCTTGTTCTAAAATGAGAAATATCTCTATTAACACTGTCTTATTCAGTCATAAGAAAAATTGATTATATAAGCTAGTATAATAACCCGTGAGACAGAAATTTAGTCATTCAAGAAATAGAACTGATGCTTTGCTGGGCCTTCTGCTGAACATCAGGGAATCACTGGTAACTAAGACAGGACCTGTCCTCAGGAAGTTTACAGCCTTATGAAGCAGACCTTAGATAATGTCCGCTTCTTTTTTATTTCATTGCAGTGCTGGGTATCACCTGTGCTCACTAGGCAGGTGCTCTTCACTGAGCTACATCCCCAGCTCAGAAGTAGTCTTCACTGCTATTAATAGTGAAGAAAATATAAAAGTTTTGAAGAAAATGTCCCCTACTTGAAAATGCTGCAAAGCAGAGAGTAATTCCCAGAATCCTGAGATTGTTTGTGAAGACTAATATGAAAATCAGCTGTTATTATATAAATATGTCTGTTTCAGTTAAGCAAATATTGCAGTGATGCCTTGAGGGGCTAGTGCTTAAACAAAAATAACCATGTGGAACAGAGAACAAGGTGGCTCTGTGAATAAAATATCTGGTTTTAGTTCTTATAGTTCTTAAAGTATAGGTTTTAGTTCTGACAGGGATTACATGGGGATTCTTCTTCATAAGGTGTTTTTTTGTTGTTGTTTGGGGTTTTTTTAATTTGTTTTTTGTTTTTGTTTTTTTGCCTTATGGGTCATACATGCTTATATTAATTTGTATTAGGTAATACATAAGGAACTTGATAATAACATGTCTGGTGATTAAAAGTCTTATAAATGAGAAAAATGCTTAAATACATATACAAATAAATTTCTAAGAATAGTAATTTTCTTTTACAAATAAATAAGATATCTCTGAGAAAAAGGAAAGCTTGGTTAAACACTGGCTACTTTGGATTGATACCTTCATTGTTGTAACTAAGGAGAGGTACCTATTGAAGTAGTAGTAGGCATTGACCCAAAAGCACTGCAGCTAGGTGACAGTTTTTACCATATGCCCATGGGTCACTTGTTATGTCAATGACTCGGTGTACTCATGGTGCCAAAGGTTGGGCTTATTCTCTTTGATTCTTTTTTTCACAAAACTTACATTAATTGCAAACAAACAGATGTGGCGGGGGAGAAAGAAAATTGTTAGAAAAGTACAACATATAAGGTTAAGGATTTTAGAATGTCTTACATTCTGCCCTAATGGCAGCATACTAGCAACAATAAATGGTTCCTATTGTTTCCTGGAGTATTTAGGACTTATTCCCCATAAAACCAATATTATTGTACTGTAGTTAAAAAAAAATCCTAACAATTGTGCATACATAATTGCAAAAATGCACAACATATTTTCGTTAAGTTAATTAGGATTTAACTAGAACCTTTTTGGTTTTAATCTAAATGCCCTGTAATTTGTTTAAAAAAAAAAAAAAAACTGGCATACCTTCAAATTTAGATTTAGATTATCTCTCAAAGGAGTGACTAGAATCCACTATTATTAAACCCAAGAAGAAAGAAGAAGCAATATATATAGGCAGAATATTAGTTGTTAACAGCAGTGAACATAACAGGTAAAAATTAATAAGTCCAATCTAGGGATTCTGGGAATTACAGAATTACTCTCTGCTTTGAAAAAAAAAAAAAAAAAACAACTAAACCTCAAATTAATTACTACAAATGTGAAGATGATATTTTTATTTTTTCTTTTTTTTAATATTTATTTTTTAGTTGTAGTTGTTTTATTATTTTTATGTGATGCTGAGGATTGAACCCAGGGCCTTGCACTTGGAAGGTGAGTGCTCTATTGCTGAGCCACAACCCCATCCCAAGGTGATATTTTTCTTTTTTCAATTCCAAAATAAAATTTGTTACAAACACTAATTTTTCTCAAATTTAGGAAGGATCTAATCTGTTTGGGGTTCTTGATACATCCCTCTTTGCTCCTCTTTTTCATCCCCTGTACTCCATGTCTTTTCAGGACATTCAAAATCCTGCTACTTCAGCCTTCTCTCATTAAAGACATTCTCAGCAAGGAAATCTGATATTTCATTTGCTTGTTATTATAAATTTAACTTGTAGATGACTTCTCCCAAGATTATTTGCATTTTAAATATCTTTTAAAAATTGAAGAGATTTTTGAAGAGATTTGTATTCTGTTAAAAGAATTTCATTCTAAGGAGATGAGGGGAGAAAACTGTTTACCAGAGGGAGTAGGGGCTGGCTCTGGTGATCCCGAAAGACCACAGTTGGCCATTCACCCCAGACTGGGAAGAAACAGGATCTACATCTTCAGCCCTGTCTTCTGGGTACTGACAAGAGCTTCGGGATTATGTAGAGAAGAAACAAAAGGAAGATTGAGGCATAGAAAGAGATATGCAGAGTCAACAGTTTTGGTCAAACTATGGTATATCAGAATGATGGCCATGTGGAGCCTAGTCAAGCAATAAGAAAGTTGCTGCTCTTTGGGGGTAATTTTTATCACACATGTTTATCAGAGATATCTGTTCCTGGACTCCAAGCTGACTGCAGGAGAGGATAACTCAGAAAGAATAAGTCAGAAAGGCAAGATGAGTTAGCTAAGACAGTGACTGAGTTTTTTTTCAAGTTTAGGGCAATGACTGGAGACTTTAAGGTGTCACTCCAGTGGTGTGAAACAGGATATTGTAAAAGGTGGTGGTTGATTATGAAGTACCTGCAAATCCTTAACATATCTTATTAATTCTTATCTTGGTTTCTTCAGCCTTGAAGGAGGAGGAATACTAGCTTTTAACAAAAATACTCCTTAAATGATTAAGATGTCTATGTGTGGAGTAATAATCTAACCTAAAGTTTAAGGTAGGGAAGGATGCAGATGCAAGATAAATCGGAGATGTCAAGCTTTTATCCCATTTTCAGTTGTGCAAGGCATTTGCACGCCCAATGAAGAGTCAGCACTTATTTAGCAAAGGCAACTTCTACATCCCTGTAACAGTATTTTATGAGAACTGAAATTTCCTTCTCACAGGGATGCAACTTATTAAAAATACAGCATAGGGAAATGAGAAGGACTTATTTTCTAGGACTCCTGCTTCATTCAATAAGATCTCTTTTAGATATGCTTGGGTCACATTACAACTCTACCAGAAAAAAAAAAAAAAAGTTTTTTTCTTAAAACCCAAGTTAAGTGACATAATGAATTACTCTTCTCAATTCCTGGCATATACTTCACATTGTTCTTGCCAAGCCTCTCTTATTTTTCTTGGTTCTTTACTTTCTCTCCAATTCCCTTTCCCCCATATATAACCATCTTTTTTAAAAATATATTTACTTTTAGTTGTAGTTGGACACAATACCTTTATTTTATTCATTTATTTTTATGTGGTGCTGAGGATTACACCATAGGGTTTCGCGCGTGCAAGGCAAGTGCTCTACCACTGAGCCACAACCCCAGCCCCCCCCATATATAACCATCTTTAATATGTCTTTCCAGCCAACCTTTTATGTATATATTTAGCCATATATGTCTTTAAATATGTATATGGGAATATGTGTATGTGTATGCATGAGCCCACACGCGCACTTGTGTATGTATAGATAGTGGTTTTTAAAACATGGGAGTTGAATTATGCTGTAAATCTTACTGTTTTTTATTGTGTATTTCTCTTGAATTGAAAAAAAATGTTACTTTTGATTCCTGCAAGTTATTCTCATAGTTAATATCACAGTTTACTTACAAATTTCACTACGAACAAAAATCTAAGTTGCCTGCAACCGTGTG